GCCAAGCCCAACAGGAGGATCTTCGAGGAGGCCCTGCGGCTCGGGGGCGTCCCCCCGGAGCAGGCGGCTCACGTCGGGGATGATTACACCCGGGATTACCGGGCAGCCCGGGCCGTGGGCATGCACAGCTTCCTGCTCCACACGGCCGGGCACGGCCCGGAGCCCGAGGTGCCCCCCGAGCACGTCCTGCCCACCCTCAGCCACCTCCTGGCCCGGATCGAGAAGGGGTAGCTGCGGTTTGGAGGAGCCCAGCGCTGCTGCCGGGTGCTGAACTGGTCCTGGTGTGGGATTCCCTGCTGCCAGGGGGGCAGGGAGCAGCAGCGAGCGGATCAAGCACAGGGAGCAGCGCTGCCTGCGGAGCAGCAGGGGTGTTCCTGCAATAAAACATATCTGACAGCCAGTGGTGCTGCTGCTTTGTTTCACGGCTCTAAACACACTCCAGAAGGGGGGGTGTCAGCAGTGCTGTCTTTCCCTAACGGGGCTGGGAATGGGTCAGGCTCCAGAGGTTCGTTCTGGCAGGTGAGATGGAGGCAGACATTGAGGTTTATCCCTTCTCAGTCACCCTGGGGAGAGGATCAAGAATCCCCCAGTGCAAGTGCAGGTTCAGTCCCAGGGAAGGTCTCAAAGAGAACACTCAGGCTCCCCATCCCAGGGAAGGTCTGCCCAAACAGAGCACTTGGGACACCCCTGCACACCTCAGTGTACCCCAGCCTTGCATCCTCCTCTTCCCAACAGGAGTGGCCAGGAGGTGGCTGCAGGTCTCCCTCTGTAGACTGAACAGTCTTGAGTTGGGCAACTTCACTTAACAAACTGACAATTAACAAACTTCACTGATTTGGGCAGTGAGAAATAAAGATGACCATTTTAAACCCCTTGCCCTGCTCCCTGGCTCAACTCCAGGCCAACACCTCTCCTTCCTCCCTGCCTTCCATCAGTTCCCTGTGTTTGCACCATGTTAAACTCAACCCCCACTCCCTTTGGTGACACTCAGGTTTGGTTTCTTTCTGCTGCTCTTTGCTTGCTCCTCTGCTTGGACACCAGCCACAGCCCCTCAGGGGTGCCTCTGTCCCAGCAGGGGACAACTCCCTGCACTGTCCTGCTCTGCAATGGGGCAGCTCCTCCCAAAAGTGTGTCTCCACTCCAGCTGGGTCCCAATCAGAGACTAACAAAATCATTTAGGTTGGAAAAGACCTTTAGGATCAAGTCCAACCATTCCTCCAGCACTACCCAGGCCACCACTTACCCATGTCCCCAAGTGCCACATCCACACCCCTTTCAAGCCCCTCCAGGGCTGGTGACTCCACCACTGTCCTGGGCAGCTATGCCAATGCCTGACCACCCTTTTGGTGAAGAAATTTTCCCTAATACCCAACCTGAACCCTCCCAGAGTAACTTGATGCTGTTTCCTCTTGTCCTGTCACTTGTTACTTGGGAGAATAGACCAAGCCCCACCTGGCTCCACCCTCCTGTCAGGGAGTTGTAGAGCTGTTATTTCCCTTTCCATGTGCCTCCTCCCTGCCATCTCTCCATACACACCTCTTACTATTTGTCCCATTTTTCACAGCCTCCCGCCAGGCTGGAAAGCTGCCCTTGGTCAGGCAGAAACTAAACAATCCACCTAAGAGCAGTTGGCCCACCCAGGTATTCCCTGACCCCTCACCCCAGCACGGCAGACACAGGACAGGAGAGCTGCTGTAAAACACGTGAAGAACAGCTGTAGTGTGAGAGCAGGTGTTGTCTGAACACTGTACACAGCCCATAGCCCTGCCTGGGCTCCTTTCCCCCCAGGGCACAGTGCAGAGCACACACAGTCACACCCAGGCCCTGCTCACTGCACCAGTGAGATGCTCTGGTGTGCCACGGCGAACACGGGGTAGACGGGCTCCGTGAAGGTCTCCCTGTGGGAGAAGAGGATGGTGCAGGAGTCGGGGTCGTAGAAAAGCACCTCTCCCCCCGCAAAGTCAACCAGCACCCCGATCTGGGCCGGGGCCTTGATGAGCTCCACGGGCTGGGGCTGCCCCGCGTGCAGGAACCGGAACTCCCGGTCGTAGCGCGAGAACACCCAGGAGGCAGCGTTGAATCCCAGGCGGCCCTCGTTGGCAGAGCCCTTCCTGGGCACGGAGCTGTAGCAAACCCCCAGCTTGTAGGCACAGCTCTGCTCCACGCCCACCTTCCAGGCACACAGCCCAGAGTGGAAAGCTGCAGTGGCCAAGGCGTTGGGCCAGTGGTCAAACCGCTCCGGGCAGTCCAAGTCCACCTTGGCTTTCTTGGGACTGAAGGTCAGCGTTCTCTTGTCCTCCGACAGGCTGAGGTGGGGGCTGAGGGTTCTCTCATCGATGTGAATCTCCTGTGAGCCTGAAAGAGAAGCCACACTGTAAGCACAGAGTTGGTAGCCCTCACCTGAACCACATGAAGCAGTTATGGCCATCAGAAAGAGAACCACAACCACCCTCTCCTCACACATCACTGCTGGGGACAGGGACACATCTGCTCCCAGGGGTGCCAGCACGGCCATTCCCACAGCTTCTTCTCTCAGCCAGGGCCAGAACAAGGCACAGACTCACCTAAGACCAGACTCCCCACGCACCTCTACACCCTTGCACTTGAAGCCCTGGAGAGTCAAAGATGCTGCTCATCTTTACTCTGCCCCTGGCCTGACTTCCCACAAAACAGAACTCAGCAGGTTCAGCTCACCCTGCTTTTGGGGGAGACCCAAACCTCAGTTCCTGTCCCTTCCCACCTCCATGGTGGGTGAGCAGGGCCTGGCTGCTCCTCTCCCAGCAAGGGTGAGCCAAGAGCCTGGTAAGGACAGGGCTGTGAGCAGAAAACCTGCAAAGCCGGTAAAACAGGAACGGGGAGGGATGGAGAGGGCTGGGCAGGGCAATCTCTTTCCTGCTACAAAGCCCCAGTTGTTAATCAACCCACCCTGAGGTGCTGGGAGCAGTGGGGGGAGGTGGCACCAGGCTTAGAGATGAGCACGGCCCTGGCGCAGTCTGGTTCTGCTGTGAAGTCAGGGGCTGCACAAACCCAGCCCGGGGTGAGCCAGGCTGGCTGGAGGACCCTGCACCCCATGGGGGTCTGCACCATTTCAGGACCACAGAATCACGGGATCACTAATTTTGGAAAAGACCTCTAAGATCACAGTGCCCTGCCCTGGCTGCACAGAGTCTGCAGACCCTGTGAGTGCTGAGTAACTGCACGAGTGGGTCCCTCCATCCCTAAATTTGGGAAGCAGAGATGAGGCTGATGTCCAGCTGACTCACCTGCTCCCAGTTCCTGCCAGTGGGTGCCCCTGTCTTCCCCCACTCTCACTTCATTCATTTTAGGTCTTAAACTGCCACAGAAGCAAGGCTGGAGCAGGGGAGCCAGTCGCTGTCCCAGCCCTGCCACCAGCTCTACCCTGGAATGCCCAACCACCCTCTGCTCAGCGTCCAGCACATGGCAGGATGAGGCCCTAAGGAACCAAACCATCCCACTGCACCCTGAGCAGGGTCATCCCAGAGCCCAACCTGCTCCAGGGCCCAGGTCACATCCCTCTGACAGGGAGCAGACCCAGCAGCAGCTCGGGCTGTACCTCCCCAGGTGCTCCCTGGCAGATGCACTGAGGCTGGGAAGTGCAGGGAAATGCCACACACACACTTCCATGTTAGGTGGGAGCAACTGCAGGCAAGAGTGAGCCCAAGGAGGAGCTGAAGCCACATCCCCTGCAGCTGGAGCTGCCAGCCTTGATTTATTTCCCTGAGCAGCAGCCAAACCCCAGCCGTGCCTTCCACAGCTCCGTGGCCGTGGCTGCCCACGCTGCCCGTGTGCAGGGTGGCTTTCCAGGAAGCCAAAAGCTGCTCTGAATTCATAGAAAAGGGAGCAGTACCAGAATTTATCTTCCTCTGACAGAAGGAGGGCACTAAACCTCGTATTGTGCAGCACACATCTAATCTAGGGCTGCATTCCAGTGCTCCAGGACAGGGATCATCCACGCAGGGAAACACCGCCCCAGAGACACCACAGTGCTGGAATTCCAGGGGGGCATCTGAGGGAGGGGGAGCACTGGCAGGGTGACAGCAGAGTAATTCAGATCAGCACATTTTCCCACACACACAGGTGTTTTGTCATGATTAAATCTGCCCTTCAGATTCTCCCATATATTCTGATTAATGATTAAATCAGGAATTCATCTCACCCCCAAATCTATCTTCTCTGTGTACTGTACCCATCAGGGTGGCCCTGGGAGATGAGGGATGCCAGGTTAACACAGTTAACAGCTCTGGTAAGCACATACATGTTGGCTGCAGCACATTTGACTGCTTTTAAAATCCAAGTTCCCATGAACCCAGATTCCTCCCAAAACTGTGCCAGGAGATTTACATCATCTCTTGGTGTAAGGAAAAAGCTGCCAACCTCACATGTAAGTGATACAGAAGCCTGGATGCCAAGTGAAGACATCAAAGGAATCGTGTTTATTTCTGAGAGGGAAATGGAGGCTCTTTTTCCTGCTGCTTTCCAAGTTTTTGAGAGGTTTGGAGCAAGCTGTCAAGGCTGGGAATTTTGTGTTTTCAAGCAAATAAACAAGACAGCCAACTGCTCAACTACCTTTGGGAGAAGGGACCACAAAGTGACACATAACAAGCTCAGACCACTGCAGTTAATATTAAACCTCTAAGGTTTGGTCCTGGGTGGACTGTGGACTGAGGAGATCCACAAGGATACAGCAGGAATCCTCAGCATGCAATAATGACAGTTAAATGTAACCACACACTCAAAAAAACCCCAAACAGAGTGAAATTCCTGTGTAATAAGTGCACCAACACACCCACTACAAGCACTGAATGTCTTAGAGCCATCACATTTTACAAGGATGGTATTGGGAGAGGAATCCTTAAAAAAAAACATGTCACAACCAAGAGAATTAGGGAAAGGTTTCTTCCTTGACTTTATGGCTCAGAACATCAGCCAAGAACCTGCTCAACTGATTCTTTCTGGAAGGATTTCTTCATGGAAAGAGTGGTCAGGCGTTGGAAGGGGTTCCCAGGGAGGTGGTGGAGTCCCATCCCTGGAGGTGTCCAAGCAACAGCTGGATGTGACACTCAGTGCTCTGGGCTGGGGGACAAGGTGGGGACTGATCAAAGGTGGGACTCAATGATTTTGGGGGGCTTTTGCAACCTCAGTGATCCTGTGTGACACTGTCAATGCACAACTGCAGGAGCTGGCATGGAATCCCAGACTGGGTTGGGTTGGAAGGGACCTTAAAGATCACCCAGTCCCAACCCCCTGCCGTGGGCAGGGACACCTTCCATGACTGCCAGCATCCAAAGACTCCAAAGAGGGAAATGAATCACAAAGGGAGAACACATCAGAATCTGCAGTAGAAGAAACAGATGATGTGGTGCTTGGTAGCACAGATTCTCAAGCAGAAGTCAAAGCTACAGGAGCAAGAAAAGGCCAAAGCACAGACCTTGGAGAGGGGCCTGGAAACAGGGAAAAACTGAAAACAGCTCATCAGCAAAGTGAATACAAAAACTCTGGGAAAATCACCCCAGGGACTGTTCACAAGGCAACCTGTAAAGGAGGTTGCCACCTCTGAGAAACAAAACTCACGTTTGAAATGCTCTAGTGATGGCCTGAAAGTCAGAGTAAAAGCAAACATTTCACAACCAGCCACCCAAGCACATCACAGCCAGGAGAAAACTGTCTCTCCCTGCTCAATACAGCCAACACCAATCTGCTAAACTCGTACCCAGAGCCTGTCACTGGCCTGGCAAACACCTCCAGTGCAGCCCCAGCTGTACAGAAAGAGCTGAGCCAGAGCACAAACACCCCTAAAAACCACCAGCTCGTGCACAGCCACAATCTCAGCCTGTGAGCAGAAAGCTGCTGCATCTCCTCCCTGCTCACTTTGCTGCTCAGAGCATCTCACAGACACCCCACAGGTGAACTCACCCTCTTTTAAAATGCCCAGCAACCCAGTGCTGAACGTGGTGAAGAGGGATTTCTGTGACAGAGATTCCCCAGCAGAGTCAGCTTCACTGCTGTCACCAAGCCACCCAGGAAACAGCAAAAGAAACCACGTGAGCTTAAGCCACAGAGCTGATAAAACAAAGTGTCTTTTCAAACTCCGGTTCTGCTCTGAGCCACAACCTGCTTGGAGCCCCCACTGCACCCCCCAAACCTCCCACAGCTGCTGCTGCTGCTCCCCTGGCTGGGGGGTTCCAGGAAACAAGCAGGGGCTGGGAGAGCAGAGGGGCAGGACAGGGCACCAGGAGGTTTTGACACAACATGAGGGTGTTTCTTTGGGCCCAACATGAATGAGGGTGCAGGAATCCCCAGAGCTGGGGAGACACTGACCTGTGAGGCAGCAGAGCACAGCAGAGGCCCACAGTCGGTGCAGGAGTGGACTCTGAACACACGTCTGATTAAAGTTTAACTTCAGGGACTCCTGTGGCTCCAAGATTCCCTCCGCCACCTCTGTCCTAGCAAAGGAAAACAAGAGTAATTTCAAAATACAAAGATTTGTTGTGCTGGGAGGTGTTTATAAAGATCACTTAGGAGGTATGGCAGAGGTTAAAGAGGAGCTCTGGCTGCAGAGTGACCCCAGAGGGTGTTTCTGAGCCAGCTCTTGCCCTAAGCCATACTTTAAGTGATACTTTCGGTTGGCTTTGCTTACAGTGCCTTGTGAAAGGACTGCAGTGTTGTAAAACACATCCCAGCAGCCTGAATCAACAGCTCCTCACTCAGCAGACACAGGGTAAATAAATGTGTCTGAGAGCTGCCATCAAGGTACAAAGGGAGCCCAATGAACAGTGAGAGACTCAGATTTCCCTCTTTATAACAGTTGGAGCCCAGGGGGTGTGGCAGGAGCCGGGTTTCACCCAGCACAGCAAGACACAGACGGTTTGCTGTTCCTGTGGCCTGCAGCACCCACACAACTCGTGGTTGTGAGGAAAGGCTGTGTTGACAGCCTTTGTGGCACATTCTGTACTCTCTACAGGCACAGATACCCCACCAGCCCTCTGGGCAGCACAGGGCCAGCACCCCCACAGGAGCCAGGGAGACAAAAGGCTGTGAAAACCCAGCCCCCGAGGTGCCTCTTCAGGGAAGGGCAGCCCAGCGTCACCCACGGTGCTGCTGGGGACACTGAGGCTGTGCCAGCCACCCCAGCACAGAGCACACCAGCTTCCCACCAGGACCATCCCACCTCCTGCCAACAGCAGGGACAGGCCTGCTCCAACCCCCAGCAAGCCCCGGGGAGTGCTCTGAGGAGCTGGAGAAGTTCTCCTGTAAACAAGGGCTGCTGCTCTGGCACTGCACGTGGAGCATCTCCAGGGGCCAGGCTCCTCTGGAGCAGAGATGAGAGTGGCATCTCTGTGCTGTGTCCTTGTCCCCAACAGAAGAGCAGAGGGAGGACAGAGGTGTCCAGGGTGCCTGAGCCATGGCACTGCACAGGAGCTGCAGGGAGGCAGGGGAGCCTGGAGCAGGGTCAGGGAAAGGAGCAGGAGCAGCCAGGCACTGACCTCTCGAAGATCTCTCGTTCTGCGCGCTGGGGACAAGGAAAGAAGGAGTCACCAGAGCTGAAATGCCTACAGATCCCAAACACGGGCTGGGGCACAGCAAACCCAGGACCCAGGAGCAGTGTTTTCCTTCCTGATCCAGAGAAACCACCCCTCACCCCAACAGCAACCCTGGGGAGCATCCAACATCCATTTTCCTTAGCTGCAGCACTTCCCACCCCTCAACTCAGAAAATGAGTGGGAATGGCTGAGGGCAATACATCCTCTACAGTTGAGGCACTGTCTGCTGCCCTCCCTCTGCTCCCACTCCACTAGGGAATGCTGCAGGAACAGCCTGTGCTTCCAGCAAACAACCCCAGGGCTTTCAGCAAGGGGGGTGGTGGCAGAGGAACTAAGTCAAGAGTCAGGTGGTTGGTCCCACTTGTTTCTGTTCCTGCTGGTCATGAGCATTCTCCAGATACAGTAAAGTGGTAGGAAAATATCTGATCCCTGCTCAAATCCGAGCTGCAGGGCAAGCTGCAGGCCTGTGGCATGGCACGTGCTGATTCCTGATAGACACAAGTACCAACACCAGCAATCCAAGTGGAGAACACGTGGTCCCTAATTCCCCTCCACCATGTGGCAAAAGGGTCTGGCTGTTCTCTGGCACAGGCAGCTGATGGGTCCTGCTCTCCAGCCTCTCCTCTCCACGGTGCAGCCACAGCCCAGCGGAGGTGCTGGGGCAGGACAGACACTGCTTTTCCTACCAAAGGAACATCTGCCCTCTCTATGGGGTCAGGTCTGTTTCCCAAGCAGAGCTGCTGCCCTCTTTCCCACAAACTTCCATGTGGGAAGCAGAGGCTGAGCATGGTGGTGGAAGACCAACCTGCTCCCTTCCAAACTGAGAGGAATCACTTGGGTAAACCCAGACAACTCAATAACCAGAGAAGGAACTGAGGGAGAGGAAGCACAGGCTGCTCTGCACAGCAAATATCCCAAACAGAGCTGTGCCAGATGACAGGGAGGACTTTCCAGAAGAGATGCAGGTGCTCCCAAAGCGGTTTTGATTCAAACTACACACAACAGTTGAAAACTGGTGGCACAATGAATTGCTGTAAGAGCAGCTCTCAGCCCACAGCTGTCCTGGCTGTCTGGCCTAAGGGCAGCTGTAAGCCAAGAGCTTGGACACCTGAGCGTGGGTGGTTCTGGACCTCACTGCAAGCAAGAGCAGATGCTCTGGGAACCACTGAGAAACCACAGGGGTTTGTCAGGACCAGGTCAAGGAGGTTCCCTGAGCTAGACCTGCAGATGTAGGTCCTGTCCAGCTCTGCCTCCTTGCTGTCAGCACAGCAGTTGCTGAACACCATATTTAAGTCCCATGGTAAGAGGTCCAGGTGACCTCTGGGCTGACTGACCCGTCCCTCAGAACACGGAGCAGTTCTCACCAGCAGGCCCTGGTCATCCAGGTTGGTGATCATGTCCACCAGGTAGGTCCGGAGGGCTCCCAGCTTCTGCAGAGCCTCTGTCCAGTGCACCTGCTGGGTCAGGATGCTCTGGTGTGCCCTCTCCTCCTCGGCGTGCACCCTCTCCAGCAGCCGCTGCTCCTCGTTCTCGCAGGCCTTGCCCACGAAGAGCAGCCTCTGGATCACCAGCTCCCGCGCCGCGCTGGCCGCGTTCTGCCAGAGCAGGGACAGCAGCAACGTCAGCCTGGCTGCAGCCCCAGCAAGAGCCCCAGCTGCTCCTGCCGGCTCCCTGTGGGCTCAGCCATCAACATCACTCTGTTAACTGAGCCCAGGCCACAGCAACTGTCACGATACAAGTGCAGGTAAATGGGACAGCCGGTCCCAAACCCACCTACAGCCTCCTGGCCTAACTGTGACAACCTGTGAAGGACCAGAGTCCTGTCCCTCAGCAGATCTCCATGGATTCACTACTGGTGAGACACGTGAGAACAGCCTGACAGAGCTGGGACTGCTCAGCCTGGAGAAGAGAAGGCTCTGGGAAAACCTTAGAGCTCCTTCCAGTGCCTAAAGAGGCTCCAAGAGAGCTGGAGAGGGGTTTTGGACAAGGGCCCCGAGGGACAGGACAAGGGGAAATGGCTTCCCACTGCCAGAGGGCAGGGATAGATGAGATATTGAGAAGGAATTCTCTCCTGCGAGGGTGGGGAGGCCCTGGCTCAGGTTGCCCAGAAAAGCTGTGGCTGCCCCATCCCCGGAAGTGTCCAAGGCCAGGCTGGACAGGGCTTAGAGCAACCTGGGCTAGTGGAAGG